TTCATGTTACTTTATTTTATTTCATATTATTATCGTTACCTAAAAATATCGTTAGTTTTAGGTAACAACACACTATACACAAGTGTTGTGAAGTCTCATTATAGCTTTGAATCAATAAAAAGGCTGAATTTTAAGACACTATTTGCCAATAATCTGACAAATCTTATTCACGGTTCTGACACAAAACCTTTTACACAGTAGCAGTTAAAATATTTATTTTAAATCTCAACTTATAACACTAATGTAATCAAATTAAATATAAAACAAGCTATTTCCTCTGCCAGGGCATTAACGTTTTTATAGAAAATATTTTATAGTTTGTTATAGAAAAGCAAGTTATGCTCAGAGTCCAGAGCCTCGATCATAACATTTTAACAGACACCTTAGAGACCTGCACGATCGCGGGACCCAACGCAGCAGAGTGCGGCAGAGTGCGGCGCGGGACAACACTTGCTGGGGGTGCGGGCGGGTAGACACTCGTGTGTGTGGGATGTGGGAGAATAATAGAGGGTGTACTCACACTAGGCAATCTTAACCGTGCCCGAGCGTGTTGAAAAAAAAAAAAATGGATTAATGTCAATGCCACTAAGAAACAAAAGAGTTTTCCTTTATGGCTGAATTAATCATTTAATGTGACAACAACAGGAAGCTTCTTTGTCATAGAGAGTCGAAGACCTCAAGGCCTTTCTCTCCACAGAGGATCCATCTCTCTGTTGCACCAAACATGCCCCTTCCATCCATAGGGCTCTTTTATATCATTCATTAGTTTATGTCTGCCACAAAATATAACACCACAGGGCCTTTAATTTATTAATCTGGCACTCAGATCAACCCCATGGCGGGGCTGGATGGAGAAGCGTGCCAGCTGGGTCAGTCCGTGTCCAGGCCTCTGGCTGGGTTCACAATCTCCAGTGAACAAAACGAATCGGCTTGGAAGCTTTTGGACACTGTTGTGCGCAGTTCTGTCTCCACGCGCACCAAGCGCCATCTCTATCAAACGTGACACAGTTTCAAAGACACCAGGGAGATGATTTTCTATTATTAGAGAGATGTTCCTTCCATCCATTAAACCTGACGTTACTCTAAACAGGAAAACACTGCAAGCAGCAACAGATCTTCTCTTGTGTGATCAAATAAAAATAGGGTGTTTCTTATACTCTGGGCCCGTGGAATGAACGCACACTTTTGACCATGAATGACATTTTCAACATTTCTTTAAATAAAATGGCCAACTCCTTTGTCATGCTAAGACTAATTTCATAGCTTGCATTTTATGTAAATATACACAATGAAATAATATTTTCACACGTTTTCAATAATTTGCTAAAATTGCAGTTAGACCGTCTCCTTGGTAAATGATTACGCAAATTTGTGGAAAAAACATTGTCACCACAAATGAGGGAGAGTCATAATTTATCTTTAAAAAAAAGGTATACATCATTTTCACAGAAATAGTTTATGATTGTTTCATTTATGTTTGTTCTGTGTATATTTTTATGACATATTTTCATTTTTTATGATATAAAGTCTGGGTTTGAGATAAAATAAAATAAAATAAAATAATGATGAAGGCATTATTTAAAAAAAAAGTTTTAATAGAACATTAAAGTACTATGGTAACAAAGCTTGGGGGCCCATAAGATGTTTTTTGTTGTTGTTGTTTTAAAAGAATAAATCAATAATCAATACTTTCATGAATTGAGGATGCATTAAATTGATCTGGTAATAATACGAAATGCTTATTGTGCAGCAAATCAGCACATTAGAATTATTTCTGAAGAATCATTTGACACTTAAGACTGGAGTAATGATGCTGAAAATTCAGCTTTGATCACAGGAATATATATAGGGTACAACAGGGCTAAAGGCACATCTTAAGAAAAAATGTGCCATTCACTGTGCCTAAAATGTAAATATGCAGAAAAAAATAGATATACGTTGTATTGAACATTAATGGAGCAACATATTTTGTGTGAAAATAAATCATATAAGTCGTTTATTTTGTTTAAAAATCGTATAAATGTATGAGGTGGCAAGAGGGGCCTTTTACCCCACACACGGGGTAAAAGGCACACGGTATTTATACAAATACTTCAGCTAAAATAATGTTGTTGTTTTTTTTGTTTTTTTTTATAATGTTTAAGTTAATACTTGTTCAAAACAATCACTTTAGCAACATTTGTACTATTTTCTGCTTATTTTGAATAAAATAATTAATTTTATTTAAATAAAATACTGTCATTAAAATATGTTAATATAAAAATATATTTTAAAATACGGAAACAAAATCATTTTAATAAGTAAAGATTCTGAAAGCACTGAAGGAGATCCAATAATAATTGAATATATATTTAGTAGTAACAACCAATGCTATTTTATTAAATGTTATAATTAATATCATGTTTTTAAATATGATGGTTGCATTCTAAACATGGTGATTATCTTTAATATAGACACCCAACATAATATATGATATTTACCATCTGAATCTAACCATGTCATGTCAACAAATGGAAAAGTCAGCCATCTATTAATTATCATGTTAATTACTGTGCGCCTTTAGCCCCAACAGCAGGGGCGCTTTTTACCCCAAATACCATACTTTTACATATTCTTTCATTATTTAAAAACTGTTGCTTTAATTATCTTAAACAAAACTGAAAATCATAAAGAAGACCTCTGTCTCAAAATACATGTATTAATTTTAGCGATTCTTATTTGCTACTTAAATTTACAACATTTTTAAAAACATAAAATATTAGATCAAGTAAGCACAGAATCAACTTTGCGCTGCTGCGCGAGATCGCGTCAAGGATCAGACAAATAGTGCTACGCCACGTTTTTGTGCCATCTAGTGGTTTAGATGAAAATAATATCAAAAGCGCCTTTAGCCCCATTGTACCCTATATATATATATATATATATTAAAATAGAAAACAGAGAGTTTAAATTAAAATAATATTTCACAATATTTTACTGTATTTTTGATCTTGGTGAGCAGAAGAGACTTCTTTCAAAACCATTAAACATTCTTACCGACCCCAAACTTCTGAATGGTAGTGCATAACAAAAAAAAGGGCAGTAAAAAGCTGTTAGTCTTCATTAAAATCAACACAAAGAGCTTGCAGTTGATGAAACACCCCTAAATGTACAGCACAGCTTCTCAAGAAAAGTGTCAAGAAATTTTGAAAAAACACAGAGATCCTGGTGTTCCCTAAATATCCTTAGCATAATCGTCCACAAAAACCCATCAATCTTACCTGTAATAGTGGCTCTTTTTGGCAGGATGGTGACGGCACCAACAGCGGCGTCCTCGAGGCCTTGAATAGGGCTGTTCTTGGCTCCCCAGCTATCTGACCCGATCCATAGGAAATGGCCCACTTGATCGGCTCTTTTGCTGGCGTTAAGGATCCCCCTGCGAACATTCCCATACAGGAAACCATTACTGTGACATTGAGGCCCTCTGTGACTCTTCAACAGAGCAGGAGATGTGGGCCAGCGACTGTAATAGCATCCAGATTGAATCGTCATTGAGTATGAAATACAAAAAAGCAATTTTCAATGGGTTTGCTTGAATGATGACATGTTGATGTCATTAATCAATACCCTAAGTGGCTGAGCTTATCCAGCAAACAAGATATAAACCCCTCAAGTGCACCCTTGAGTTTTATCTAAGTAATAGCGTTCAAGCCAGTAAGAGTATTGACTTGTTGTCATTGTTATTTTTGGAGCTCAAAAGGGAGCAATTAATTGCTTGAAAATGAAATTTATCGTAGCCCTATCTTGCGATTTCCACTTCCTCTTCCTCTCCTGGCAATGTTGTCAACAGCTTACCGAATGTCTTCGTCGTAAGCGAAAATAATGACCGCCCGGGCATGACGGGTCTCCAGCAGCTGTCGGATAATCTTGTCAAAATCAGCCTGCTTGTGGTCGTGAGGGATCTTCAGGGACTGAGCTATGCAGATTCCACCTACAGAAAGAACAGAAAGAGACCCATGAGCGAAGCCGGTGACACCAGAAAAAATAAAAAATGAAGAACTTTCCCCTAACGTTAGCATAAAGTTCCCATTTGGTTGTGTTTGGAACCAAATAATAACATTCTAGGAACGTTCCATTTTTGTAACCAAAACTAACTTATCTAGAACGTTGCTGGGAGTTTTTTTGTCATCTACAGTAAAGACAACCTACAAAGAATGTTCTCTAATGGTTGTTTTTGGGGGTTTATTTTTATAATCATAAACCCTCACAGAACATTTTGGTGTGGTGTTTGTTTGTTTATTTATTCATTCATTTATGCACCCATCCATCCATCCATCTATCTATCTATCTATTTATTATTTATTTATTTATTTATTTTTGTGTTTATTTATTTTTGTGTTTATTTATTTATTTATTTGTGACAAGCTAAAGAGAGCCTATGCAGAACATTTTCTAATGTTTTACATTTTTCTAACCATAAATTAATCTTGCGGGGAGGGTTGTTTGTTTGTTTGTTTGTTTTATTTATTTACAAACTAAAGAGAGCCTATACAGAATGTTTTCAATAGTTATGTTTAGAACATTTTTAGAGGTTGTACTGATTGATTGATTTTATTTTATTCTATTCTATTTTTGGAGAAAACTTAATGGTAATATATACAGAACATCCTCTATTTTTTTTTTTTAGGTTTAAGTTCTATAACTACAAAGTAACCTTCATAGAACTTTGAAGGGAGTTGTTTTCATGACAACCTAAGCATAACCTACACAGAACATTATCTAATTCTATTTTTATAACCCTAAACCAACCTTTCCAGAATGTCACAAGGAGTTGTATATTTATAAATTGGGTCGTTGTCTATTCAAGACCCCTTTACAGTTTCTTTCCTGCACAAGTGTGATGAACAGCACTGCCAAGGAAAAGTATTAGGATTAGTCTAAATCCATCTACAGTTCTGCAGGTTTTGAACCAGATAGTAATGGAATATGTCACTCTCTTATACCAGCCCATTTTCAAGACATTCGCCCATTAGATATATAAAGATTCTACACGACAGACATGCTTAGGAACAACACAATTCAGTGCTGTTTGGTAAAGATGTAAGCGAAAGTGAAATACAGCTTCCTCTTATTATAGTTTGCAGGTTGGTGACGACTCCAAATCTCTCTGGTGATTTATGAGACGGTCAGCATCGATATCTGAGTCTGTGCCCGCTGCCCTGGAGAGGAGCTTTTATGAGCGTGGCATCAGGAGATTGGAATTGTGATAAAAAAAAGGACAGACAAATGATGTAAACCCATGGCAGTTGCTTCAATACACTGGCTTTTCTGGAAAGAGAGGCGCTGAACTTGGCATCGCTCACCGTTTGTCTCGCTGAAATCCCACAGCCGTGCTCTTGTGTTCCTGTTCACTGCACAGTGTACTTAGCCATGGGAATTTTTCCCATTATCTGGAATATTCACTGGGGAAGCTCATACTGTTCTGCCATTCTGAGATAGATGAATCCCATGGAGCAGAATGAATGTCAGAATAGCGGTGTTTATTGATTTTCAAATGCGCTGTTGTTACACAAGTGCAAGAACACATGCTCAAATGCTAATGCTGTCTAGGTTTCCAACACACTGTTTTACTCACAAAATCCACCCTTGAACTCCTAAGGATTTTCAAATCAGTTCATGGGAATCATGAAAAAGAATAGTGACTCATTCAGTGGCTAATTCCTTAGATTGATTCAAACTGACTAACTCAAGTGTATATTAATCTCTTTGATGGCCTGATTAAAAGTAGCAGCTAATAAGAGTCATTTGTTCATGAATCAGACTTTACTGGTCTCGCAGTATGTTTCTTTTCAGTCAGCATTTCATTTATCATTCTCCCGCCTTTTTAACTCACTGCATTAAGACTTCTTTTTTTTACATTGCAAGATTTCTTTGTTATAAAATATGATTTCTTTACATCTTTGTTTTGTGAATCAGTTTGTGCGAATCATGAGAAAGAACATAATTCACATCATTCTTTTCTCTCAGTGTTTTATTTGGCATTTTCCTATGTTTTTAACTCATTACATTAATTCTGACTGCAAACTTACAACTCGGGTAAAAAAGATTTATTTTTCTATAAAATATTATTTCTTTATCTCTGTTTTGCAAATCATGACACTGACAGATTCAGTGACTGATTCAAACTTAAAATGATTCAAACTGACTAACTCGTACGAATCTCTTTGAAGGACTGATTCAAAGCAGCAGCTAATAAGAGTAATTTGTTCATGAATCAGACTTTAACGGCCTTGTGATATGATTCTTTTCAGTCAACCTTTTATTTAACATTTTCTGCCTTTTACATTGCAAGATTTATTTATTATAAAATATGATTTCTTTATCTTTGTTTTGTGAATCAGTTTGTGCGAATCATGAAAATGAACAATGACACTGACAGATTCAGTGACTGATTCAAACTTAAAATGACTCAATCTAACTCATTTGAATCTCTTTGAAGGACTGATTCAAAGCAGCAGCTAATAAGAGTAATTTGTTCATGAATCAGACTTTAACAGCCTTGTGATATGATTATTTTCAGTCAACCTTTTATTTAACATTTCCCCGCCTTTTTACCTCATTACATAACTTCAGACTACAAATTTACAACTCAGGAAAAACAGGATTTCTTTATCATAAAATATAATATTTTTATCATTGTTTTGCAAATCGGTTTGTGTGAATCATGAAAAAGAACAGTGACACAGACAGATTCAGTGACTGATTCATTAGAATGATTCAAACAAACTCTGGAGTACATGATTCCTCTTGACCATTTTACAAATTCAGCAATTCAATATGAATAACAAATTCAATCCAAAAAACTAAATTCGGTAACACTTTATTTTAGGGTCTCTTAACTAGTTGCTCATTAGCATGGATTTTACTAGAATTTTTGCCATTTCTTAGTACTAATTAAGCACAAATTAATGCCTTATTCTACATGACCTTATTCTACATCCCTAATCCTACCTAATACCTAAACTTAACAACTACCTTACTAACTATTAATAAGCAGCAAATTAGGAATTTATTGAGGGAAAGTCTTAGTTAATAGTGAATAAGTGTTCCCTATGCTAAAGTGTTACCCAAAATTCAATTGAATAGAAATTAGTAACACTGTACTTAGATTACAACAATTTTATACACTGACACAACTAAAACACACTTGCTACGAGTGTCACTGAGGAAATTTCATGGCATGATGGATAAGTAATTTCCTGCTGTACTGTACCATCAGATTAAACCACTACACCTTGAAAGGAAGTCCAAAATCTGAACCTTTCCGGCCTTTCGAGTTGAGTTAATGCGATTTAATTGATCTGTCAACTAATGTTAACTGACCAATTAGGATCTTCCAGAAGCATGCCATCAAGTGGCAGGAGTCGCGGTAAATTGACATGGACAGGCCATGCAGACACCAATTATAATTAAATCCCTCTTAGCCATGGGTTTCAACCCCAACACGCCTCGGAAAGGCACACAATGCATGCTGACAATGTATGCGGCATGAATCACCAAAGCGGATACAGACTGTATTTTCCCTATACAGCATGCCGTGAAATCTCGGAAATGTAATCCAGCCCTTGTTTACGTCTCTCTTTGTCTTTTGTAAGACGCTGTTCACCATCGCTGGCGTTCTTCTGAGTCAAGATATTTTAAAGTGTGTTGGTATGCATCATTGTTAAACCTCTGCAGATCTCAGTCACTAATTTCAGTCTTAAAATATCCCTTTAGGCAGTTTCAAAACTCACATTCCTGTTACTTAAACACAAACTCTATTGAACCCTGAATTCAAATGCCTTTATTTGTATGTACGTGTGGAAGATGCTCGAATTTAAAGTGATTTACTGTACAGTGCATTCAAGCTCTGCATTAGATCATATTTGCAAACACGTGAACTTTGCATTGCAAGCTCTGTGTGTTTCTGTGCTGACGCTGAAGGGGAAAACAACAGCTGTAGGATACTGTGAAATGTTTTAAACATGGTAAAATGTGTGAAAGCTGCAGTAATAATAATAATAATAATAAAATTATTTATTTTCTAAATTAATTAAAAAAAATGATTGAAGTCGTGCCAAAGAAAACCCTTTAACTGTGGTAAATTCTAAGCTTTCAAAAATCCTCTTAAATGGCTTAAATAATAATAATAATAATAATAATAATAATAATAATAAATTAATATAATGAATGATTAAATGCTATTAATAGTAGTAGTAGTAAAATGAACTGATTTAATAATAATACTAATAATAATAATGTAAACTAAAATAAATAAGTGAAAGTTGAAGTATTAAAATAACTGAATCAAAAACAGCAAATCATAAATGAAAACCAAACAAAAATATTTAAAAAAAAAAAATTTGATGACATGAGAAACCAAATTTGCCTTGATCTTCTGGCATATAAGAGGTCTTTGTACCATTAAAACATCCTGCAAATTTTATAGCTTAAGACGTCCTCCCCATTATAAACGAAGCATGTATTTAATCAAGCTCCAAATACGTCTCGTTGTGGATCCTATGGGGCAAGCTGACGTTTGCATATAACCGCCTCCAGCGCAAGACATCTACGCCTAATTTTGCATCATGGCATCGCTGTCAGGTGTTCAGTCGTGCAGCGAGTGGTCTGAAGGAGTAGCGGTTTACAATAAGATTGCGATGCCAGGCAGATGTGCCGTTCCTGGATGTGGAAAAACAACATGTCGGATCCTGACGGCAGAGAAAAATGGATTCAGTTTATTTTTAGTGAACGTCCCAGTCACGTCAGTGCTAATTTACGTGTGTGTTTAGTACATTTCACGGATGACTGTTTTGAGAACAAATCGCAGTATGATGCTGGCTTTGCCAGAACACTTTTGCTCAAAGATCAGGCCGTGCCAACTGTTCTGGACCCAACAATGACGCCGCAAACTGTAAGTAACGTATTTCATGTAAAAACAACTTTTTAAAA